AGTCGCTGCATGCCATTGATGGCGTGGTCGGACAGAGTCCGAGGCATCATGGGCACGGCCCGTCAGATGCGCGTGGAGTGGTACGTTAATCACTGGACAAAGACTGCGGGGTTAGCAGTTCTTTGTCGGATGTTGTAGATAACATCGAAGCTCCAAAGGAGTGGACAGTAAGGGTGACACTGGACGACGCAAATTGCGTGTTCACCCTGGTCTCACCGAGACATAGAATTTTGTACAGGGGCGACGGCGACGCCATATGCTGGCTGCAGAAAGCCGGGCGTCGACCCTGATCCAGGGTGTGCCTACAGTTGACGATAGCGCACAGTTATACATCCTCGTCAACGGTTTAACGGGGGAGGAAGATGGCGACGTCCGCCTCGAGGCTATGCCTGCAGTAGATGCTCTTCGTGAGCTGGACGATAGTCCCTCGAAGAGTTTGGCGGTGCCTTGAAGGCAGGCGATTTGGCCAAAGTGGTCATTGTACGACCGGACGAGGAGATAAACTCGTCATCGCTTTTGGATAAAGCCGTCTTGGAGGACACCAAGAGAGTGCTGAACGCACGAAGTAGATCGTCGATCCTGAAGATCCCTAGGATCTGTACTTTCCTTTGGTAAAGGAATTTCAAGACGTCGTCTTCAAAGACCCGCCTTCGGTCCTACTTCCGGTCCGAGGTGTGCGGCATAAGATCGACCTGGTTCCGGAAACCAAATTCTGCGTAACACGCCAGTGGCCCCTGCCCAAGGAGCAGTGCGACGTTATTGACGCCTTTTTCCGTGCGAAGCACGACGCAGGGATGGTACGTGAGAGCAAATCTCTCCATTCGACACGCATGTTTTGTGTTCGGAAGCCGAACGGCAAGTGGCGTATCGTTCACGCTTACAATAAGTTCAACGCTGCCACCATTCCGGCACAGAAGCCGATTCCCAGAAAGGATGTTCTTCAAACCAACATGGTGGAATGTACGAAGTACAGTGCACTCGACTTGGTCGATGGGGGTTACCAATTGCTCATGAGAGCGAGTGATATTCCGCTAACAGCGGTGAGAACTCTGAGAGGCATGCTCTGGGAGTGGCTGATGATGCCCCAAGGGCTGTCAAATGCACCAGCGACATTGTGACGCGGTTGTTCAGCCCCCAAAGGGCGTATGCACAGACATACTTTGACGATATTTTTCGTTCACAGTCGCGCGGAGCACGGGAGGTCGGATGAGGAGAACCACATCGTCCATTCAAGAGCTGTGCTCGAGTTTATACCACGATCAAATTGTACGCCAGCGCGACAAGTGTATCTTTGGTGCAGAAGAGATTCCCTTCTTAGGGTGCTTGATTGGGAAGCGTGGCCTTCGAGCGGATCCCGCTAAGGTCTAGGCCATTGGAACCTGGCCGGTTCCAAAGAACCAGAAGGACTTGCGTAAGTGGCTTGGTTTCGCCAACTACTTGCACAAAAACAGCGTAAACTACGCAGATATGGCCCGGCCATTATCCAATCTCCTTAAAAAGGATACGGAACCTTCTGAACACCAAACATCAGGAAGCTTTTGACGGAGTCAAAGACAGCCTCCTGCATGCACCAATACTGGTGCTGCCAGACCATGATCGTCATTTC